TTAGAAATGTTAAAGCTATGTGTTTAAGTTGAGATATAATAAGTCTTATCAATACAATTTTTGATGTTGCAACTGAAATACTGTTCTTTGTATGTATAAATCACTTCCAACTTTTAAACAGATTTGCACTCTGCACGTAACTTTGCCTTTCTATGAACTTAGCTTTGCATAATGTATTTTAAAAGAAAGCAGTTTCAGAGCCTACAGATTGGTTTCTTTTCCCTTAGATTTTCTCTAGGGCTCTGAAGAAGTGATACACAGGTTAATTTATTTTAGCAAATTCATCTTAGAGTATAATGAAGCTTTATTTTCATGACAACTTTAAGATGGTTGAAGTGAGACCTACTGAGGAAAAAGAAGGGTCTGATTTCTCCTTAGGCATCATGGTCCAGCCTTCCTTTTGTTGGTGCTGGTCACAGTGTGGTCATTTGATCTGCAAGACCAGTGCTGTAGTTGGGATTGAAGTTTGGCTAATTGGAGTATGGCCAGAGTAGGAAAGACCATGTCTTTCAGCTGTTGTCACCTTTAGATCAGCTGAGGGGAACACAAAATAGCATTCTGAGAACGAAAAGCAGTTAATTTAAAATATCTCACCTCACAATGACTCTTAAATTTACAAAAAGAAAGCTGCACACTACTTGATAAACATAGAGCTAATTTTTATACATGTGAGTACCCTTGTTATAAACTGACTTTGTATTACCTCAGAAACAGGCTTGGTTTTGAAAGAGATGGGGTTTTTTTTATTACCTCTTACTTTTTATTATGTCAGTTCTAGTAGACATAATTGCAGTAGAGAAAATTACAAATTTTAAAAATAATTATTTTTGGCATTTTGTGCCTTTAGTGTCAACATATAAAGAAGAACAAGTGGAGTAGGACATAGGTATGTAAATATTAGTGTTGACTCATTTGGACTTCCCTGTGATTTCACAACAGTGGTAAGAAATTAGGTGGTTTTTTTTCAGGCAAGCAAGTGGGGGTTGGCAGTGTAAAAATTATGGTGCAGCCCAACTTAATCTTTAGTGAGTGTTACACAACTGTTTGATTATGAATATTCACTGTTATAATTTGGTTTTTTTAAAGTTGTACAGTTAAGTTACTCACTTTATGTAACTAAAATCAAACACTGCGGTTAAAGTACTTCTAATAATGAAAATTATATTGAGTAGAATGCAACTGAATTTCTTCTCTTTATGGATTTTTTTTTATCATCCTTCTTCCTACCTCCCATTCATTCCTGCATCACATGTGCTTAAATATGGCTTCTGGGACATATTTAATGTAATGTGGGGTTTTGTTTTGTTTTGTTTGGTTTTTTTAGGTTTTTTTTTTTCTTGGTAGGTTTGGGTTTTTTTTATTATGAAAAAGAATATTTAAAAGAAACTCAAAACTTTTAAAAGTTTAGCTTTAATCGTGAGTATAAGGTCAAAAGAACTTTCACAGTTTCAACTGTTTGAAAGCTGTCTGGCTGTAATGTTCAAATCTTTGACATAAAACATGGTCCTTTGAGCTTATAAGAGTAGAAAAGGCACACATTTTCTTTTAATCTTTGTATTTCCTTTTCAGGTTAAATATTTGTGCTACCTATAAGATAATTGAACTTTTGGGGTACATTCTGTCTAGATTAGTGTTGACCTTGGATGTGCAGAATATATTAAAATGCAAAATTATTTGGGATTTCTCCTCACTTTCAAATTCAGAATGATTCAAAGATTACAAGAAACTTCAATTTTTAATGTTAACTTGTAGGTTTACTGGCTATGAGGGGTGTTATTAGACACAGCTGTTCACTTGTTTTCTCTGTTCTTCCCAGAAAAATCCTCTCTATCCTGGTTGCATGAAAACACCAGAAACCCAAGGTTTCTGGGGTTGCAGTGAATCAGTAGAAACCTTGTGGTGTTAATTAGATGTTATTAACAACATCTGGCTTTGCTGTTAGTACTCCTGTCTTTTTCTGGATAGACTAAATAAGCAAGACCAATTCAATATTTTGAATTTGGAAGCATCAGATTCTGGTAATTGAAGATGTGGCTTTTAAGGAATGACTTGGAAAATACTTTAAGGAATAAATTTAAGGGGTGACTTAGAAAATACTTTTAAATTTTAATGGCATCCTTTAATGGTTTACATTGTGTATATATGTAAATTTTTATGGGAAAATGCAGAGTGTGATATACATAGCTGCACTATTGTTAATTTGTCTGCTTTTAAGTGGTGGTTTGAGGGGACTGTCAGTGTGAAATTATAATCTTAGTTGGTGCCTTGAAGTTTATAGAAAGCTCAAAGAGGCTATTCCTTTTTACAAAGTGAAGATCAACAAGCTATTTCGGAGTTAGGAGAGCAAATACTGGATTTATGTAGGGTGAGACCGCATGTAAAATCTGCCTTGCTTAAAATCAGACGGTGAGTAACTGGAGGTTCTGGTGTGTAGTAAAGCTTTGGAAAAGAGAAGCTACGTGCTCAGGGACTCTGCATCTGTATCACCATGCTGATGAGTACAAATGATCACGTCCTTCTGCTAGTTTATTGTGTAGTTTGGGTAAAGATTGAACTTTTTGCCTTAGAGGCTGTTAACTGGAATAATTCTGTATATTCTGGGAGTAGGTAGTTAATGGGTATTTCAATACAAGTAATGACCAAAGTTTTTTCAACCAGTGAAGTATACTTGCCAGTGTGTTTCCAAAACATGCCTATATCCAAAGTTTGTTGGACCACTTGGGCAGATTGATGAGATAATTTTTGTGCATTTGGTAGAAATAAGTCATCCTAAAGACTATATATTCATTAGCATTCTCACTGGTTATTTACAGTGTAACCCACACTGTGCTCAGCTTCATTTGCCATGCAGTAAGTTTTTTGAAATGTTTGATGGGTGCAAGTTCTCTTTATTCACCTTTTCTCTTTGCCACATAGAGTTTCTTTTATACAGCCTTCAGATTGCAAGGGAAAGGTGAGACTTTGTGTCGGGGTGCCTCTTTTATGTTAGTATGTATGAGCAAAACTCTAAAAACAGAAAATATTTTAAATACTTTATTAATATGTAATATTTAAAATATGTAATATTTAGGACATGATTGAATCTCCTAAATATGGACCTTTGGACTTTCTAGTTGTATTATTTCTAAGAACACAGTTTCTGTAAGAAAAGTAAACTAATTGGCACAGCATGTCTTGAGAGTCTTTATTTCAAGGTCTTCCACCGTTATGTTTTCTTCCCTTCTCTCTTGAACTATTGCAGGGAAAATTTTTAAACATAAAAATAAAAAAGTGGATTTGTCAGCACTGTGCTGACTGTAAATAAGGTGTAGTTTCTAAGGAAGCTTTGTTTAAGCCAAGTTTACTGACAAACTGGACATTTTCCCTTTTAAAAGCCAGTACCGATCAAACCGATGTGTTTGGTGTCTTTACAGTTTAGGGTTAGAAGGTTTATAACAGTACAATGTCAGGTAATACCTCTGTAAGTGTAGAATTGCACATGAAACCCCCTCATAACTTGTACACAAATTAAAGATGAGCTGCAAGGCACCTAAATTGTATTATAAGCATAACAGTGTTTTAACATAATTGAAATTAATCTGCTCATTGCCAGTTCTTGGATGGAGAATATTTTCATTGCACCAGAACAGACAAGCACAGCAAGATAGCTGTGCCATAAAATGGGGTTGCCAGTTTAGACTGGTAGAGGTGTTCCTGCCAAGGAACTGTGGCTGGACATGAGAGTTTTTGTGTCTGTTACACTGTGTGTAATGGTCAGCTGCAATCACATCTCCTGTGATAGCTGCAGTATAGATATTAGGGCAGGTATTATCAACTGTAAGTAGTCTAAATGGGTGAGATAGGCATGCAAAACAAGAAAACTACATTATGTAAGTGATTGTGGATTGACAGCAAGGGTGGCAGCAAATTTCTGGATGTGAGCTAGGAATGTGCTGAACAAAGAAAATGGAGAAAGAGACAGATAACTGAGATGAGGTATTGTGAGAGGAGAGGGTGCAAGGAATTGAGATGAGGACTGTAACAGAAAGAAAACCTCTCAACAACATAGGAAAGACCATCAGTGAGCTGGACAGAGGTTCTTTCCAGTGTCCTGGAAACAAAGGGTCCTGGCCTTCGTTGCCTCTGGTCCTGCCACCTGGCTCCACCTGTTGCTGTCTCCACTGGACAGAATAACTGGCAGTGTGGTGATTATTACTGATCATCCTACTGATTTACTAAACTCTCCTAAGCTGGTACAGAAGGGTCAGTTGTTATTTTCAGGGTGTTTGCCAGAAGAGGTATATGTGGAGATGAAATGCTGTAGAAAAGACAGAAAAAAATAACTGAGTTAGACAAGGAACAAACACTATGTTCAGTGATCATGCTTTATGAATCAGTTGCCATATAAAATTGTTACCTGAACTGTTTGCTGCTGGAAAATCTCCTCTTACAGAGTCCAGTGACATTTTCTCCTTTAGTGAATAGGTGAAAGTCATTATAAAATATACCAAAGAAAGTAATTATAAAAGATCAAAAGTACCACTTATATTAATGAAACCTTAAAGTTTACACTTCAGACTTTGTAGCTTTGCTACATAGCAAACATTACCATTTTTCTATCCAAACATCGACATACTTTCGAAGTATTGGTGTTTATTGGTTTTATTTCCGTGGTTTTGTTTTTTAAGATCCTCAGTAACTTCTGTAATTTATCTCAGTCTAGTATATCACATGGTGTTATGCTAGAATTTAGTTCTTTCCAGGAATATATTTCATCACAAAGGTCAAATGTAGTTTTTATTCTGAATGTGCTTTTGAAAATTGCTAAATAATGCAGAAAAATATTTTTTTCTTGTTTGGTTGCATTTTTTAATGCCAGTGTTTATTCCTTATTTTAAGTTGCTTAAGAGTAGCATGTGTGAACCTATCTTGAATCCTTTGTGTTCTGATAAGACACTACATCTCACCCATTTATTGCAAGCTGTTAACTTTCTACCTAATTATGTATTCCAGAAAGTTTTTTAACCTTGATCTTGGAGCTCTTCAAGACATCAAAGCTCCACCAGTTTTCTTGTCATCTTATTGCAGACATTAATTACCAGGTATTTGTTCTGTGTTTAATTATTTGGTAGTTTTTATAATTAATGGGTTTAAAAGGTTTTTTCATTTTCAACCATTCTATCAAGTTATCTCATCTTGAAGTGTAGACTTTTTTTTTTTTCCATGTAGCCAATAATTTCTGTGTGTAAATATTTATTAACTGTGACTTCTAATCCTAGAACTTGTTTCTTGATGTAGATAAAACAGCTCAGGAATCTGGTAATATCCCATGTCTCTTATACACAAGAGAGCTCCTCAAAAATAACTGCATTTCTTCACACAATAAAAAACATGGGTCTCAGGTGACAGGGTGTTCAGCAGAAATTATTTTTAAATTACTATATTTCATTATGGTAACTAGTTAAAGCCAGTCTTCTCTGTGGACAGTGGTAGTTCAGTTTGGCTGGTTTAGACTTTTTGTGTATCATTCCTTGGACTTCCCTGAGCAGTTGAAATGTGCTATAGGAAGTGGGAAGATCCTGTAACTACTGTACAGAAGTTTGAATATTAACAGTGGTTAGTAAGTCAGTTATCTGTTGGATTTGATTTTTAACTTGCATTCCTCTGTTCTTGAAGTCTCATTTAAGATGTTGAGTCATGTATAAATATTACATTTAAAATACAAATCTAGTTCTTAGAATTGAGCGAATCAGAATAGATTTTGTTTTCTTTCCACTCTTTTCTAAGTAAGTGCCAGCAAGCTTTATGGGCTTGTTATTTAAATGGGATTTGTGCCAAGTCATATTACATTTCATGTTTTTAAGCAAGCGGTGCTGGTTTGCTAGAGACTGTAGAGTTTTTACCCACAAAGGACTGTACTTTCAGCATCTGCGAATGACTGGGTTTTGTGTACTTTTTGGGTAGACTTCTAATACTCTGAGGCAGCAAATTGGCTGATTGAACTACGTAACTAAACTTACCTGGCCTCTTCTAGAAAATTTTTGTATTGGAGTGATATCCATTTTGCATGTTGTAACTGCTTTAAAGTTAAGCTCCAAGTCCCGTGGATTGGTCAGAACCATAACTTTCTTTTAATTATTTTGTTAAAAACAACCTGCCTAAATCTGAATTCTTCTTTATTCTGTCCTTTCTTTCAGGTTTTCTGTGACTTTTCATTGACAGTAAGATGTGACTGATTACTTAACTGGAGCATGCCATAAGTAACTACCGTTAATACAGAGTTGATACAGATACATAAGATGTATTTGTAGGCTTGGTTTCAAAGACCATTTCTCTTTGTGGTGCTGTCAGTGTAAACAGTGCCAGCCCCTGACTTGCGTTGCAGTGTTCATGTGGTGAACCTGATCAGGAAGCTGATCCAGGTTAAAAAAAAGCTAAGCAAGGAAAACAATGATTATTTTTAACCCAGAGCAATTGTGAGTTATGAGTGACTTGCTGATGTTTGGATGGTGGGTAACTGAAAAGATATTTATAGAAAGAAAAACCTGAGATAGCTGGAATTCATGTGGGTATGGGGTTTTATTATTATTTTGTATTTTATTTCTTAGTAGCAATAAATGTTTTTTTACATACATTTAGATAGAGATGTATTAGCTGGAGGAGGAACATAAGTCAGTTTATCCCCTTGCAATTCTCCATTGCCTCCTGCAAAGAGCTGCTTGAACTGCAGGGGGGAATAGGAGGAATGGGAAGATGGAATGAACCTTGAGATGGCGAGCTCCTGTTTGAGGGTTGCTGATTCAGGGGATGGTGGCTAACTTACGAATAGGGACTCTTCATCAGGGAGACAACTCATCTGCTTTAGCCAACACTCCCTCAGAAACGTCAGCTCACATGGAGGTCTGAAGGGTTTTTAGAGCATCAGTATTGCATTTGTTTTGGTTTCTTGTTTGCAAGGCCTTTTTGAAGTTTAATAATAAAAAAATTAACAGCAGAGCTACTGTTTGGACCTTATAAGCTAATGTGCTCTGCCAAGTGGTACTATTCACTATCCATTAAATAGCAGGCATACAGTAATGAGAGTGTGATCAGTTTGAGTAGTGATTTGTGAAAAAGAGTATCATAAATATGAAGAATTAATGTAGTGTACTCTACACATACTGGCCCCCCTGACTTCAGATGTATATGTTTCCCACTGTGGAAGTTCATCAGAAAAAAGCACAAACTGTGTAGCTGTGAAGGGTAAATTTTGGAGACTTCAGTCCCAAGTAAAGACAAGACCCTGTTGTGTAATTGATAGCATTTTCAGAGAGTGCTGTGAGTGCTGCTTTGATGTAGTCATGGTTAGTAATAGTAGTAAAGTTTTGGCATCTTAAGCAGTTTCTAGAATCAATTCTTTTTGAGAGAAAATTAGCATTCAACAGAGCCATCAGATGCTAACAAAATGGATGGGCAAGGGAAAGCTTGTTCATGCTAGCTATAAATCAAACCAGTTTATTCTCTGTGTGCAAAAGTGTTTGGAATTTTAGTGCGGTATTTTTAACTACATCAGCCTCTTATTATCTAGAAGTTAAAGAAATTTACAGCACAAAAGCTTGAGTCACAAAATAATACAGTAACATAATAGCCAGTGTGAGCTCCTATGTAGAGCTTACCGCTAAATATAGAGATTATATTTAAGTTATAGAGAAACAAAACATCTGTTTGGAGGCTTTGAGGGCTACAGTGTTTCAGGTGATATTTGACACTCTGCAGTGCTTGGAATTCCCTGTGGCCAAGCAGAAGAGAAGGTGTTTGAGATTTGTCTGAGGCTGAAACTTAAGGCTACTGTGCCTTCACCGGGAAAGTTCAGGGCACTTCTTTAAGCCTTTTACTTGGGAGGGTTTTTTTTTTTTAAAACTGAGTTGTGTCACTCTTGCTTATTCAGTCTTCATAGGTACTTAGGAATCCAAATCTTGCATATGACTGCTTTGTGAGAGCATGTAGTGCATACATTCAGGCGTCATAGTTGTTGATTAGAAAACATGCATGTGTTATGAAAATGAAAGTCCAAAAAGGTTGGTTTTTATCCTTAAATATCTGCCACTTATGACAGTAGGAGATAATTTCTGTACAAAAAAGTGAATATGATTTTTCTGTGTAATTGAATGTACCAGTGCTTCTGAATGTTATGTGGCACTCAAAGTTGACAGTTTAATCCTAAAATCCTCCCACAGAAATTTTCTAAATGATACCTATTCAGACTTGTTAACAGAAGGAATCTTATGGAAAGACTTGTTTAAATAGAAATGTATACATATATATACAAAACATATATAGATACAATTCTAATGTGTATGTATTTTTTTTTTTCTCTCAGGTGAGGAAAGCTTTGTTTTGTTTGAAATGTTATTTCTTCAAAATAGGCGCCTTCACTGTACAAACAGTCTTTCAATCCAAATATATGGGACAGTAAAGTGCCTGAAGATTAAGCTGCAGCACTGTCTTGGGAAGAGTTAAATTTTAGAAGAAGAAAACCTGATTTTTTTTTCCTTCCTTTTTCCTCCATCTCAAAACCTGTCATCCCAGGCCATGCTCTTCCAGGAAATAGAGTTGGTAATAGAAACTCAAATAGCTGACCTAGGGGAAAAAAAATTAATTGTGTAAATAGTAGCAAATAATGAGGTTCACATCTGATGGAATCGAGGAATTCCAAATAGTGACTGGGTTTGCAAGCCATATGCGCGTTCTTATATTACAATTCATTACATTGAAAAGTCAAAGAGAGCAGATGGTTACTCAGGCTAACTTTGTAATAAAACCAGTAGTTCTATGATGGTAATTTTACCATAGGAATCAGAGATTTAGTTTTGTTTTTATCTTTTTAGGAAGAATGGCATAACAAAATTTATTGCAAGATCCTATGGTAGGGCAAGGGGATTTTTGTTCCTCTGATCTTCACATTACCCGAGATGCATTCTCTGTCAGATTTAATTTGCTTGCACTCTTGTGTCCATTTGCTCACCATGCAGCCAGACTTGTGCCCAGGTGGTTTAGCCAGGATCCCTTGTGAGTAACACAGGACAAGAAAAAAAGCTGTAAAATCTTAATGACATCTCTGGCATCTTTATTGACTGGTAATGTCAAAATGATTTTTGCATGGTCTTTTATGTGTTTTGCTCATCATGAGATGCTGTGATACGCTTTTCTTAATCTTCAACTTCCATGAGTCATAGGAGGGGCATCTGTTAGTTTTCTGTTTCATTTAGTTCATATGTCTTAAATGTGTATCAGTACTCTGTTTTGGGGATGTGGTAACAGGAAAAGGAGCAATATACACTCTAAGATGCAAACTTGTGTTAGGCTGCAGGCTCTTCCACTGGTGAGTGTTCTGATCAGGCTGTTGTGCTGCTGGGAGCACTCCTGTGGGAATGGTGCTTTTCCTTATCAGGGCGGACTAAGCTTTAATCTTTGTCCTGCTCCTTGTTCAGGTGTGTAGATATTGACATGCACATGGACACACTGACATCTACATTTCTGTTGATACATATTCCCCAAATATATTACTTTTACAGCTTTTTAAAATAGTGAAAGGACAGCTATACAAAGCAGACAATATGGATTCTATAAAAAGGTACGATTATTCTTTGTTAGAACAAAATGGTGCCTGATCTGAACATTGAACAGCAGTTGTCAAATGTGATGCAAATCATCCACAACAGAATAAAGCTTTGTAGGGCTCTGTATTGAGAGAACTAGGCTAATAAAGTAGTTATTCCTAAAGATATTCCTGTAGTGCTTCAGCAGTGATCAAGAAGGACACATTTTATAAGAACTTACATGGAGCTTTTTAAAAACATGGAAGTATAATGTAAGGAAGTGGACCTTTTAGGTGTGTTTATTATAGAGGACTATGAATAAATGTTGTTTTGCTTAGTGAAACTTTGCTCTCCATTGTACAGGTAGATCAAACTAGTTTTTAGTAGCTTCTATCTCAAATAGGAAAATAATTTTTAGGGCATGGATCAACTAGACTAATGGGGAAGGGTGTTAAATCAGTAACAAAGGAGTACTCAAAGACATAGTTATTTAATTACATAAAATTGACTGTGAGAGATTCAAC